CACTTAACTTATTTATAAACTTTAAAGTAGTTTCACCACACATATAATGACAGTTTTCCTGGAACAGTTGTTCTTCGCTGCTCTAGAACAGTATGCTACGCAGCAAGTTGTGCTGTGCAGCCACTGGCAACTACTGTTTTAGAGCAGCGAAGACGAAGAATTGATTTCTGGTAAATAATTGAAGGTTAGCTGGCAATAAAATTTCAGCAATTTGGCAGTTTTTTCAACAAACAGTTCTGAACCATTTATGCCAAAGAGCTCGATGGCTAAAAACAAATACTGCCAGTTAGAGTAATTTCATTCAACGATGAGCTCCACCATCTTGGACGCTGATTCAACATGCTGAATCAGCCAAAAACAAAAAAACAGCCGACAGGGACCAACAATTGCCAATGGTGCAGGACGCATTGAAAAAACGAGGGCAACACTCACTCACTGACAGTCTGACAGTGTCCTACTGTCAGCTCGGTCTGTCAGAGCCTTTATAAAGCATTTAAAAATGCATCACATAATAGAGCGTAACAAGTTGACCAAAGCAAATGAGAAAAAACAGGATGACCTGTAGCAGCAAATGTTGGAAATGGCATTCCAACAATGAAAAAACTCCACAAAGACAGCCCAAAAGCAAAAATGATAACGGATAAGTTGTAAATTCATTGTTCTGGATGGCCGGCACGAAATGTGTGATTTTGCTTCTTCATGGATCACTACACTGCTTCAGTTGATACACAAGTTCAGGTATCAGAATCAGCGCAGGACAGGGGAAAAACATCAGGACATTTGTAATGTAAACCTGCTAATCAACACTCAACACAAGAAGTTAGTTACAAATTCAACTTACAGTGAAACAGAAGAAGTCACTGATAACAAAAGATCATCAATCTTCACATTATAATGAATATCACAGCACTTAGAAGATGGTATCACATTAAAAAGCATCCAATATGAGCAAGAACTCTCTACAGGTGGTTTTGCAGAAAGGGGTGGGGGTTGGCAGGGGGTGTGGCCATCTTAAGTGACATGTGGAGTTCAAATCCCCGCCAGGATTTCATTGAGAGTGTGGCCTCTGTAACGGGATATTCATGTGAAAGGCTGCCTCCCCCAGGGGCAGGACAGGCAGGGCAGAACAAGAGCCGCCCCCTTGTGGCACTTCAGGGGCGCCGGATGCCCTTCACCCAGAACCCTGGGTATAGAGGAGTGGAGCAAAGTGGAGCAACGGGGTGTTTCCAGTGGGCTGAGCTTGTGTGATTTGGGGCCTAGCAGGGAAAGCTAGCAGTTGGAACACAAGAGGGGACAGTGTCTGTCATTTCGTGTGTGTGTGTGTGTGTGTGTGTGTGTGGAGGCACGTTTGCATATGTGCTCGTTACCCTTTTGTGCGTACGGCTTGTAGCTGTGACCCACTTCACCACATCACCGTCTCTCATCCAAACCCCGAAGCTCCTTTTGCTTTTGCTCCCCATCCCCACATCCATCAAACGCCTACGTCAACATCTGACAAAAAAGAAAAATCCCTGTGGTGGAGATAATGGTGCAATGTCCAGCCTCTAAAATAACAACATGGTCCACAACAACAACACTGCCCCATTTGGAGTGCAGGAGCCCCCGCACAATGGCCCAGTGTTCAGGGACCCAGGGGCGCAGGCGGGGCTCCCTGCTGCCATCCAGGCTGTTAGACAAGCAGGACAGAGAGGTCATAATCACACAGCAAGCAGCGCTCCACTTCCTGGTCCTCCTCTGGGTTGACTCAGACACAGATCCTCTCTTTAGATCCCCTCCTACACTGCCACTCTGCTTCCTCCCTAACAGCATGCTCATAGGGTATCTCACATTAAATTCCAAATGTTACCTCAGTTGACAGGGATGTGCAGCATGCGTCAGAGAATTGTTTCAGTTTGTGGGAGGATCAGGACAGGATATGCAGGTTGACTGGAAACCTGATTCGGTTATGCTCTTTGATCTTTGTCTTTCTCTTCAATTTTGGCGTCCGCCAAAGGCTGAGAGGGAGGGCAGGCTCTGACATTATCATACCAAATGTGTATGTAATGTATACCTGTGCTGCCTCGCTGCTCCTGCCAGCCCAAGGCTAATATCTGTCTTCCAAACAGTCATCCAGAGCACGGCGGCTCTCTGCTCGACAAGAAGCAGCTTTGAGAAATTGCACAGTGAATCTGAAATGCAGGCGAACAAAGTGACTGCATCCTGTTGGTTTGTGGAAAGGTGTTCTGAGTCAGAGTAGCCTTGCTTCATGATGCCCTCTTCTTGGTTTTCATCACTCTGTTGATCCATTTTGTTTCGAAGGACAACGGCTGTGATTGAAAAATGGAGCATAATCTTTTATGTTTGTCATTTTTGTGCGAATGGGAGGCCGGAGGAGGAGGAGGAGGAGGATTCAAGGATGAGCATTCTTTTCTTTAAAAGTGCAATTGAGAATCTAAGAAGCAGTGTACTTTGGTCTTAAATATTCTTAATTATTCTTCCAACTTAGATACCTTAAAACAGGTTTACTTGACTGGTGGCCCGAGGGCTTACTCTGGCCCAAATTTAGAATCTAAAGAAGGAAAAAAGCATGTAAATAATGGACATTTTGCCACAATCATTTCTTCAAATCAGCAGAGCACTCCTGTGCACATGGCCTAATTTCCTTTGAGCCCCGCAACCAGCCAGCAGGTTTGAAAGGCACGTTTTCTTTCTTATTATAGACAGAAACCTTAGAAAAAGAATATATCATTGGATTTTCAAATACATAAATGCATCATGTGTGGAAAATGCCTCCGACAGGAAAAAATATCAAAATTAAATCACTTTATTTTACACAAAAGAATAAAATAAAATAAACCGTTTGCGCTAACCAGATGCTCTAAAAAACATTAAATTCTCTGTTCCTCAGCGCAACTTAGAAATCATGAATGACTTGGCTGAGACCGACAGTCATGTGACAAAAATTAATTGAAACTTGAACTGAATTGCAGGCAGTTTACAAAGAGAGGACAAGAGAGGTTGTAAGTACACTCTGTAAAAATGTAAATTGCAATGTAGTGAAATAAATAATTGGAAAATGTAAATACTGAACGTTACTGAATAATAGCTCAGGGGAATGTCTCACCCAAGGCCCTTAGCTTTCTTAAAATGTGGCCCCCTGAACAGTATAGTTAAAAGAACTACTCATGAGCGTCTACTGTTTGTGCCTGTCACTGTGATGTTAAAACTGATGCCAACTATCTTCACCATATTTCCTCCCTGAGGCCAAAGAAAAGATGCTCCACCGTGGAGCTCTATAGCGGCACACGTTGTCCACATTCCTTCCCTATGACTCCTCCATAGTCCACCTGATTTGCATTTGACCCCCTCACTCTGAGCTAAGTCTTTCCCCAAAACCCTTCAGGTCAGGGGCTTGACCCCTCCGCCTTGTGGCACTGAAATGACGAGGCGCCCTCTGAACATCTCTTCAATTGGCCTGCTGCACGACTAACCTGCTCCCAATGTGATGAAGTGGGGTTCAAAGGTCAGGGGTCAGCAGAGGGAGAAGGGTATCTCAGGTCATCAGCAGTGGCCCAGGGGGCCAGAGTGTCCGAGGGCTCGGCGCCACAGTGCTGGCTGATTGGGGTGCTGTGGTCATTGGGTTAATAGGATAAGTAGCCTGCAGGTCAGTTTGGCCCAGTTCTAATGCTAATACAGGAGCTTTGCACTGTTGCCAGGCTGGGGAATGCTTCCAGGATTTTGGGACTCCACTTGGTTACAGTTTTAATCCAACCTTGTTTGACCAGATCATTAGTTCATTCCAGTGAATGAGTTGCTGTTCTTTACTTTCTGCTTTCATTTTGTTTTTGGTTTGTGTTCGTCTTTTATTGCACTGTTCTGTCCAGGCGATGGCCTGCTGTGATTGTCAGCGTTATCTGTTGACTTCCCTCATGATACAGACGCCTCTCGGGAGTTCATACTAGGGCATATGCAAGATGGATGATTAGATAATGCTCTCTAGCAGCTTCTTGATGTCAAAGAGTGGAATACAGATTTGTTTTATAGTCTCATTCTGTGTGAGCCTATTCGGCACTAAGCTGCTCTCAACCTTCTTCACCATGTTCCCAAAGTCAGGACAACTCAAGTAACCTTAAGGAAGTGCTTTGAGATAAATGCTTCTGTTACTTTGCAATTAAAGAGGCTACCACCTCTTTCCTTTTTGGGCCCAGTGAGTGAGTCAGTGTTTGTGATGCCTGCCATCCCTGAGCTTTAATCTTCTCTACAGACTTGGTCTAGGCTGCTTGCTCCGCAGAGCCTTTTGGCATAGAGAACTGGGCCAATTTAGTGGCCTTAAGTGTAACGAGAGGACAACTCCAGATAGTCTGATAGACACTAATCAGACTGCGTGTGCACTGGTGTGAAACATCAGCAGTTTAATAAGAGGGGATAAAATGGATGCAGTCATTGTGCTTGTACGCACTTTGTTACAACACAATGGAAATGGCAGCACAATTAATCATTTGCAGCAGTAAGAGCGGAGGCAGGCTTAACGTACCTCTCCTTAAGTAGAAATTCTGTGAAAATCTGCCACGTCAGCAGATCAGTGAAAGCACAGAAATCCGTGTTTTGCTTATCTGCTGTTCTTTGAGAGGTCCGGTGGAACGCTGTGCTGTATGTTTAGATCCTGCATGATTTTGCCGCACACAGCGAATACTTGAGAGACGTCTAATGCTCTTAAGCTCTTATGTTTCATTATGGAAAATAGGTGACAAGTGGATTATAAATTTTTGCAGTCCTTCAAAGAGGGCGAGCAAATCTATAAGCCGGCTGATGCCAGGACCCCTCTAACTTTATGCATCGTGTGGGGCAGCTTTTCATGTTCACTTAAAACGCTGCGCATGCTACATTTTTGTTTCTCTCCATTAGGAACTCGAGACACAAAATGCTATGTATAAATGTGACACTTGCAGCCAGTTTTGTTGCATCAGAGGTGTGACTAAGATGATATAAATACTTATCTTTCACTTCTTTCTCCTTTCCAGATGCATCCTTTGGGACTATGTAATAATAACGATGAGGAGGACCTGTATGAGTACGGCTGGGTCGGAGTGGTGAAGCTGGAGCAACCAGAGCTGGACCCCAGTTGTCTCACCGTGCTGGGAAAGGTAAAGAGCCATCTTAGCTTTGTTGTAAACAAACTGCAGTTAGGACTTGAGTCATTTTGACACCTGAAAGGAGCAGTGTGTAAAATTTAGTGGCATCTAGCAGTGAGGATTGCAGATTGCAACCAGCTGAAACTTCTCCCATGTGCCAAGCATGAACTCCTGGTTAGGATTCCTTCAGTGTTCATTGTTCAGGAAGTTTTACCAGGAGCTGAATTATCAGTAGAGGTGTCCTCCTCTCCAAAACAAATGGACCAGGTGATTAAACACCGATTAAACACCTGCCCTGTTTGGTTCAGTTCAATCAAACTCAAGTTTGTTTGCCCCCTAAGTACGGTTTGTTTGGGCAGGTGTGAACACAGCAATCACACTCCGGTGTGCACCAAAACAACTGAGACCTTCTTGAAGAGGTGGTCTCAGTCTGGTTACAAACAAACTCTGGTGTGGTTCGTTGTGGTGAGAACGTGTTCCGACCTGGATCTGAACCAACTGCAGTCACATGACACATTGTTTGGGTTAAACATGAGCATGTTACAGTCCGGGAGGATTATTAATGTGCACCTCCTCCTGTACTGCCTTAATATGCACATTCAGCACATCCAATGCATCAAAACATTGTTTTCTAGTTGGAGCCGCGCCTCGTTTTCAAACTGTATGGTTTGACTAAAATGAACAATGACAGCAATATAGTCCACGATGAGCAGCGCTAAAATCAACCTGCGTAGTTGTCCCTCCATTGTGACATTAGAAAGTGTCACATTTATCTTGCAAGTGTACTCTTCTTCAGCGTTTACTTCCTAGATTTTTCCCACATGGAAATTCTGACCAATCAAGAGCAGCTTTCTCGCACAAGGCATTTGATTTGGTTCGCTTGTAAATGCTGCCGTGAGAACACAAACCAACTCTAGGTAATTATGCAACTTTGTAACAAAGTTAGTCCCTGATTATATATATCCCCCTAAATCCTACACACTGGACCTTTAATGTGATGCATTGCTCACTATATTAATTTAAGATGTACTGCTTTGTTCATTGCATATTGGAAGTCTGGCCATATTCAGGGTAAAAGTACTCATCAGTTTTTAAGACCCAGAGTTTTATATATATATATATATTTTTTTTTTTACAACTATCTACAACCAATTTGCACATGAATACACTGAAAGAATAATAACTGGATTGCTATTTGCCTGTAAACAAATAGCAGCCTGTAAACACAATCTCTGAAAGTCTTAAGGGTACAGATCAAAATACAAAACAACGCTATCAGGTGTATTGAATATTTGTGTGTGAGGTTTTTGGCTCCATGAGCGACAAGCAGAAACGTGCAGACAGCATCGTTTGCTACAGTCAAGTCAGGGAAAATGATTTCCCTTGTACTTAATTAAACCCCTCAAAGAGTCTATCTTTGATCTCTTGTAGTCACAGAGACAATTCACGGAAGGATGATTTAGTTTTATTTTGTTTCTGACTTCCCATCGCTGAGAGAATGAGCGTGAACTGAATCCCTCCCTTGTCTTTCACCAACCCCCCCCTCGTCCTCCCTCCCCTCCCTCCTCCAGTGCTCCCAGACCCCTCTGGAGTCTCCGAGTGGTATTTTATCATGCTTTAATTAAGTGTTCGTCTTAATGGAATGTACCAACATTCCCCTGAGGATGAGGGGTGGGGGGCGGCTATAGTCTCATTTATCCTGTGCATGCCCGGTGACCGAAAGAGAGCAGCCATTCATAATTTAAGGAGCCCTTGTGCCGTATAGACATGCTAATGGTGCACTTTCCTTGGTGATGGTTGCTGCTACCTAGCTGATGCATACTTATGCTGAGACCTGAAAACTGACCTAATGTTCAGCACTCAAACTCCTCTGCGACTGTAGCTAACAATATATCAGTGTCACGGTCGACTTCACTCATGAGGAAATGGTCTTCATTGAGGTGATGCGTCCGTGTTTGAGGAGCTGTTTACAGTTCCAGAAGGAAACCAAGGGAACTGTAACAGATTTAACTTGTCGTTTACCACTTACCACTACTTTAATTGCCATGGGAACAGTATACTTTTTGAATGGCAGGACTGACATGGGGTCAGTCTGTAAGAGAAGAAGGACTTGACTTTTAATGGCAGGTTGTGGAAGTTTAAAGGGGGAACTCCACTGATTTTACACATCAAAGTTTGTTTACAGGTCTTGCAGTGGACTGTTGCATATTTGTGAAAGGTCGATTTGCATTGTGGGTAATGTAGGCATCAGGAAGAAGAATGCATAGAATATCAAAGACAGATTCTGCTGCACTGATGCTGATTAGGTTTTTACTTTATAACTCTCCATATTGAAAGCTTTTGCACACTGAGTCCATTTTTGTCATATGTTTGAATCCATTGCTCAGTTGGTGAAGCACTCTTCAAAGTAACCATACCAATAAACGTACATGATTCTAATTCAATTCAAATAAACACAAGAAGTTTGTGCTCTAGAAAAGGATCAGCACTCAGTGAATAACCTTCTAAGCCCTATGATAAGCTATTATGGCAAGGCTTAACTATACAGACCAGTGAGCAGTGATAACTAACATGTCTTTGGGGTCATCGGGTGGGAACCTCCTTTCACCAGTGTTTTGTCTAGTTGGTCCCACGACACCTCCAGGAGGCTATACAGTGATCTCTGGTGTCCCAGAGACACTCCCCTAATGCCAGGTCTCACTGCTCCCCGCACCAACCCAACAACCTCCTTTACCTTACTTACACATCGCTTTCTCAGCCCAAACAGCACTGCCACCTTCAACAAACCCAGGCTCCGTAGCTCCAGGTAGAAGCAGTGCTGATAAGGAGATGGAGAAGATAAACTCACAGGATCAGCAAACACACTCATCTTACAACATGGTCTCAAACAAAATTGATTCAAATAGGCCTCTCCCACACTTAAATAACCTCCCTCTTCCTGGATTTTCTAATCTCAAGTGCCTGGCTCCAGACATTTAACATGAGCACACGCCTTTGTTGGGAAGTCAGAAAGGCTGCAATTGATTACTGTTTAATGGGACTGTCACAAAAAAGAGAAGGGTGGACGGGGTACACAAGTTCGCACTAGATTCAGATTCACTATTTAAGAAATAATCTCCGTCCATACTAACATGCCTGAAAACGTATATCACGTGACCATTTACATTAACTGGGCATGCATGTGCCAATGTAAACAGGAAGCAGATTGTCTACTCTGAGGTTGTTTGCTTGGATACAGGAAATAATACAGAGCAATAACAGCTATGACAAAAAGTAAGACTCGAGATTTCTTCGCTTGGACTGTTGAATGGTAAATAGACTGCACTAGTATAGTGCCTGTCTAGTCTTTCGACCACTCAAAGCGCTTTTCACTCAACGAGTCACATTCACCCATTCATACACATTCATACACTGGTGGCCAAGGCTACCATAGATGATAACCGTTTACCATTAGGTAACAATCAGTAACCATCAGAACATCAGAACTATAATGAAAGTAAAACATGAGTAAATGGTGATCGATGCAGCGAAAAACATAAATTGGGAGGCTAATTTGGTGACATATTGGAGCGATACTGGCCCGGAGCATTATCCATCATTGGAGGAAGCTATGGCGGTGGGAAATGAGTACTCACACAAGAAATGTGAAATCATAATATGTCAGTGTTGTGTTAATGTTTTGGCTTGACACTCCATGACTGGTAAGACCCATCGGGACACAAACAAGTTTGGCAGTCGTCATTAATAAAAGTCTTATTTTCCCCCTCTCCAGACTATAACGCAATGAGACAAGGGTCAGCAGCATTTTCAGAAGTCTCTGTTTTATTGGTTTGAATGTGTCAGAGTAGTGCGGGCGCTAGCAATAGTTATGTGTTTTAAAAATTATAACATATTACTGTGGATGTAGCAGAGATTGAGGCTATTGACATGTCGTAGCCAACTGAGCCACGAGGACAACTGGGTACTAGAAACCCACACCTTCCGCTCATTGGAACCAGCCAAAGCACGGAACTAATGAGCTGGCCATTTTCGTACATTCTGGGTTTGATGTTTTGCTAAGGGACGCTGTGGTGATGATGGCAGGAACCTTGACCTTTTGGCCTCTAGCCAGCCCTCCCTAACCTCTAGACCACTATGTTTCCTCTGTGTTTATTCAGCCAGGACTATAATTAGAGGAGGGAAAGCCCATTGTTGCATCTTGACAGACCTTTGCCCGGGGGCCCGAACACAGCTGGGTGCTTTGCGCTGGCACCGCCGCTTTTGCCAGGCCAGACAGTGCGGTGTTTACCCCCTGCCAGTCTGCTTACTCTGCCCAGCCAGCCGGGCCACCGTGCCCAGCCCCGGTCCGGATACTATGCCCACTCTTACACACTCACCCCGCCTGGCCTGGCCTCATGCTCGGCAGCCCACGCCCCCCTCCCGCCCTGCACGACTGGCCCCTGACTGAACCCAAGAGCCCACTCCACTTTGCTGCCACTTTGCCACCAACAGTGTTGGGGTCTTGTCTGGTCAATTTAGATTCCATTCAATTACAGAATCACAGTGAACGCACAAAACCGAATTGTAGAATAGAAATATGCTGTTTACGCCAATCTGTGTCTAAATATAAAGTGTCTGGGAACACGAGGCCCCCAGCTGTGCTTAGGAGCTGGTCAGCATGTAGCGACGGGCCCTTCAATTTAGACTGAATCAAAGGATGGGGCTTGACTTTTATTGTCCAATCCTAATTGACTGATGCATATGATCATCCAGATGGCTTTTATAGCTAAACATGAAGCATTTCAGGAAAAAAGAAGGGATGAGCTCTCACTGTCTCACGAAGTAGACTTTCCGTAGTAGGAAGATTCACTGTCCAACTTCCTGTTGCTCTTTCCATAACTTTAGAACTGCTGATATATTGACAAGCTATGCTGAGCATCCAGCTGTTAATGCAGGCCTTAATGTTTGCTGCGTACAGATTCTTCTCTTTTGAAATTTGAATTTCTTTTAATGCTGTTTTTGTCAGTATTGTA